ACATTTTCCCATGAGTATAACGATATAATTCATCATAGATTTTTTCCATAAAAAGTTGTTCCATTTATTCAAATTTCATAGAAGGACCACACAGATGTTTCAATCGTGTACTATTGAATTCTTTCCCTTCGTTGTTCGAAAATCACACCATAATTATAATGATGTTTTGGACACTCTTAGATTGGTGCCACACACGCGATCTTTCCTAATTTATTTCTATGAAAACAAATTTTTTCATCAGATCCGCCTTTTGCATGCACTAATATATACATTAGCAATTAATAGAGAATTGTGTATGCTATAATTTGTTTAAATGTTACAAAAATTTTCAATCGAGGCAAGATGACTGATAATAGTACGAAGAAAGAAAATCTTTAAGTATTTCAGAATAAAAGTATATTGATATTTCATGTTTCGATGAATAGTTAATTTGTTATTTTTTCCTTTTTTTTAATTAGATTTTTCGAAATATAAATTTTTTACGTTCGTTTTATTCTTGATACTTTATAATACATTGTATTATTATCGTATCGCATTTTTTCTATTAAATCTTTTTGATACTTAATTGATAATAAAATGATGAATAAATCATTCTCTGATTTTTTAAAGCTAGAAATTATTTCTATAATATTTTTTATTAAAAGAAAATATATAGATTTTAATAGTTTTCATTCAAGTAAACATATATTATTTGAAATATCTTTGATTAAAAATCGTATCCAATTAATTCCCTAACATTTCCACAAATAAAAATAATAAATATTAAAAATAAATATTAACTTGTTCCGAGAAATAATCGTGAAATCTTTTTCTTCTCTTCGAACCATTATTAATGAACATATAATTGGAAATTAAATAGATAATATGATCAGTGAAACGTAGAACTGGAACTCAATTAACTGTCACAAACGCCTGTCCAACTATCTAAGACGAGGAAGATGAACAAGAAAAACAGATGAAGAGTAAAAAGCAAATCGAAGAGCAAGGAAATTTTAGCGCAGGGAAGCCAGTGAGTGTTGGTCGGTCGGTCAGCCCAAGCAGGTATAAAAGCGTTGCATCGCCTTAGCCATGGTATATTTCTGCATTATATAAGCAATATAGTCCTTAGTTTATGCCTGGGACGCCGCAGTTAAACGTTGCGAGGACTTTTATAGGCCTATACGCGAATTCTCCCATACTTATGCCGGTTACGACGCGTGTTTCCACTCGAGCAGAGATACAGGCATTTACACATGCGCGCCCTCTAGCGTCGTGGTTCCTTGTCAAGACCGATGGGAAACACGTTTGAAGAAGATGGATGATTGTTCCATGTCGCATAACGAAGTGTTAACCTTTAACCGGTAGCGTGGATTTTTTATTAATTAAAATCTCGTTATCTCGATAAAGGAAGCCTGGTGTATCTAATCGAAGATGTTGAATACGCATTTTACATTATGGTATATAGGAAATTAATTACAAGATGAAGTAAAGTAGAGAGTTTCTTAGGTTAGTATTAAGGATTGAATTGTATAGCTGTAAAATAGTTCTCCTTTATGAATTAATTTATATTGCTGGAAAATCGAAATGTTTTATTAATTTTTCAAATTATTTTAGATAAAAAGAGGAATAGCGATTAAACAATAATTACATAGGTACATGTTCGTCATATGTAATATACTGTCTTTAATTATTTATATCTTTATATGGCATTTAAGTATCAAGTATAGTATACTATTCGATTTGTCTCTGTTCACGAATGAGAGGAGAGAAAATGTAAAAAAGAAAAAGCAAAAGGCTCGAGACAATGATAAATCATAAAATGGTTGATCAAGTAACAATGTTATCCTTTAAAAAAGAATAGAATATGTTCTTTTCCTCTGATATTAAGCGATTCTTGAATGAAATGTTTTTCCTAATATAATGTTACATTTGCTTATATTTTTTTAATAATTATTTTAACATTATATGTATTTTATTTTTTTTTTAATCTATATTCTAATTATTGCTAAAAATATTTTTAATATACCTGATCGACATTAATTCGACAATTCGCCTGTCACAAGTGAGTTACTTATTTCGGGATGTATATGTTCATGTCAGAGTGAGAAAGCATTATATATATCCTATCCTTGTATTAAACCATGTCACTGCTCATTCGACCGCAAAGATTTATGGCTTCTCGCTTTCACGGACCTCTCACTCGTTCTCGGATCTCTCACTTTCTGCGGGCGACTTCAAACAAAGAAGTGGGGATAGCGATGTGCTTATTTCGAGTCAGATCTTATTCGATCCTATCAAATATTAACGGTTCCTTCATCGATAATAACTGTTCAATGTAAAAATTTCTTTTGGTCCTTTCACTTTGGTACCAGAAGATAACCGAAAAATATTTTTTATATTTTTATATGGAATAAAAGATTAAGGTGATAATTTATAAAATGTTTTTGTAGAACTTCTTTAATTTTTACACTATGGATGTTATATAAAAAAATCTATTAGAATCGTAATTGGAAATTTATGATATTTGTAAAATTATTACTAATATATGTTACTAATATACGTTGAATCGTGAGAATAGCGAGACATGATACAATCTTGACTATTATATAATAGATAACACATATCAGCAACTGTGTTATATTTACAAAAAGAAAGTAAGATATGAGATAGACAATTTTATTTTCATGATTTATTATGGATGCATAAGTATTTATTTTATCTATTCTGTTTTATCTATTCTGTTATTAAAGATTAAATTAATTTATATTACGTGTGACAAATTCAATCATTCGAAACCATTCAATTTTTATTTAAATTTTATTTATTTTTCTCTTCATATTACACATTAATACTATTAATGTAAATTAATATTAAATGATTCACTTACTATATAATTCAAGATTTTAATCTAGCATTTTACAATTTTTTAATAATAATATCTAATATTATAACAATATATAATTATAATAATAAAATAAAATAATATATATTAAGAAGAAATAAAATAAAAATGCTAAATGATATTCAAACGATAAAGTAAAGTCATTTTTTTTTATATAAAAACATTAATTATATATTATTATATTTAAAAAAGATAAAAATATATAAAATAATCACTTTCATCTGCAAACTGACGTAATCGATTTTCATAATTTCGTGCCTTTAAAAAAGGAACTGTTCAGTATATTTTAATTTTGTTTCCGCTTTTTGTTGCTTCAAAATTTATGATTATCTTCCCTGATATTCGCTTTCATTAAAAAAGCTGTTAAAAGTGCAATACCTACAAAATGCAAAGACGAATATCGCTAATTCATACTCCGACATCATTATATTAAAATAATTTCAGCATATATTTTATTATATTATAATATATGTAGGTACATGAATTTATTTAAATATAAATTAATCTTAAAAGCGCAAATTAACTCTTAAAAATAATAAATAATGTATGCTTTATACATCTCTTTATTAACAAATTTGATGATCTTTTATTTAAATTATGAATAATATCATCGATAGACAAATAGATTTAATAACAGATATAAAAGATGTATAGAAATTGAAGTTATCAATAAGTGTGAATGGTTCTTAATTGAGCCCGAAGGCGATCAAGATTCAGGCTACTTGACTCGGTTTAGCACTCTATCGATGAAATTTTTCGAGAGATGGCGCCCTTTCCGCTTCGATGAAGGGTAAATGTGAGAATATTACTTCAGCTCCACGAAGCAACTTAACATGCATTTTCGATATGAAGCGCTTACATATATTATACATTATAATATATGATCTACAATACACTATATGATCTGAGACTAATATTATTCAAAATCACTGAATTTAACAATATATAGAATGTTTCTCGATTAACTCGTGATTTGTTAGATAAAATCTTCAATTTTGAATAAGAAGTAACGCTTATTTAGCAAAAATAACCATTATAAGATTAATTTGAATATTTCGCATCTTGATATCCTTGAAAAATCTCAGAAATGTTGTGACATATACACTTTAATATTCAAAAATACCTGGAATATATAATTCGAAAGGTTAAATATAAATAAAAATTTTCATTTTTGTAAAAATATGTAAAAAAAAAATTGTAAAAAAATTAAAGAAATTGTTCGTTTTAATTAAAGTAGTTTAAATAAATTAAATATTTTATGTTTTTATTTAGAGATGAAAAATTAAAGAAATTATTTTGTTTTATATTTGTGTTTTATATTATTTTATTTTGTTTGTTATAAAAAGATTTGTTGTTCCATTTAAAAAGAAGAAAATCCTTTTATCGAAGAACATCTTTAATAAGTATATATAATAATAAAAAGAATAGAATTAATTTTTAGTAAATAGTGAAAGAAAAAGATTTTAATAAATATGAGTCGAAAAATTAATTATTTAAAGTTGTAAATAATTTTTATTTTAATTGAAGCACTATGCAAAAATAATGAATTATTTTATCATTTATTTCGTTTTTGATTTTGATGAAGATTTTCTATGTCCTCCTTCCATTTTTTGTAAAAATTTTCTATAGATATTTGACATCTTTGTATTAAAGAATTGCATTCTTAAAAAAATTCCTAAATGTTTTAAATCGGTTAGAATCGATTAGATATGATTGTAATGTTGTATAAATCGATCATGATTATTATTCTTACGTCAAAGATAATTAATTATCACTACATTTTAATACAATTTTTTTTCTCCTATTGACTAATAATATTGTTATCTCATTCTATTTCATGTCGATAACATCACATGTGATAGAATATAGCTTAATCTAAAAAAATATGTTAGACGATCCCTCTATATTATATCTACTCTATGGTATAAATCTTTTTTATTGTGTTCTGTTTTATCAATGGAGCAATAAGTTCCTCAAAATTCCACCAGGGGAATATTTAGTGTACTTTCTCAAACGTTTAATTATATATTTTTAAAAATAATGTATTATTTAATATACATGTAATTATTTAATATACATTTTGTGCTTTTGAAACAAGATATTCAAAATATTTTAATGCATATTTTAATTTTAATTGTTTGAACTGCTAGAATGAATTCTTAATGTGTACTATGTTTATGTTAACCTCAAAATTTATTGATGTTCTATAATATTTTTAATTTTAATTGATCATAAGAAACACAGACTGTGAAAAGATTTAGTATTTAAATATATTTCTGGTAAGTGCATTTGATAAATGAATTATATTTTTTATGCGTAATAATACAATTTATAATTATCATAACCTAAATTTTTTGTGTTTTTATTATTTGTTTTCACGATTTTGTTGAGATTGTTAAGATTATAATGATATGATACGTATAGATACGAAATATTTTTATGATTTTTATACTATCCAGGCTGCTTGATTATGAATCCTGATATTGAGCAAAAGATTTTCAAATTTGAAACATTCGTCAATGATGTATTGAAAGAGGATCTTGCTCAATTAGAACAGAAACTTGATGTTAAAAATGCAGATGTTGCCGAATTTCTTCAATTAAAATCTATGATAACTACCATTCAAAATAATAATCTTGATAAAAGTGGATTTAAAACTCAAGTAGATATTGGGCAAAATTTCTTTATCGAAGCACACATTCCTGATGCTTCTACAATTCTATTGGATATTGGTTTGGGACATTATATGGAATTTTCATTAAATGATGCTCTGGCTGTTATCAATGTCAGAATTAAACTTTTAGAACAACAGATTGCACATTATCGTAAAGAGATAGCTAATATAAATGCTCATATCAAACTAATTCTCCTAGGCATTAGGGAATTACAAGGATTTAGAGACTGAATATTAAGTATATTTTATCTTATATAATTCTATGTAATTTTTCATGTATACATATTTATATCTTATTATAACTTTTGTACATAATAGAGAATTAAATAAATATTAAATGAATAAAATTTTGAATAAATAGTTATATTTTCCCATTTTTTAGAATTCTTATTTCATTCTTAAAATACGCTATTAAATTTCAACGAAATTATTTCGCGCGATGAATTCACGCGTTTAATTCAATGTAAATCGTTCACAATGTCCCATCAATTTTGTACCCCGAATACCGCGCTTTTGTTTCCTTGTTAAGAGTAATTGCGTAAATTTACTAGGACCTTGTGACCCGCTTATATATGATAGAGGTCAATCGCAAGCGAATCAGTGCGTTTTTCGCTTCAGCGTTGATTTCCCATTTTCGCGATTCTCACTAACGTGAAGCATTTATTAATGTCGGATTGGCAGAGCATACCATGCGTCGAAAGACACAAAGAATTTCTCGAGAAGATTACTGCGATTTTGATCGATTGCATCTTCGAAAGTGTATCTCGTGAAAATCCAGTGTTGAGATGGAGGGAACCAAATCATCTGCAGAATATTATAAATTTTAATTTACAGGAACAGCCTCGTAACCAAGATGATCTTCTAGAGATCGCGGCTAAAGTTTTTAAATACAGCGTTAAGACAGGTCATCCTTACTTTATGAATCAGTTATTTTCTGGGTGAGATATCGATAAGCATATGAATTTAGATATAATTATATGGATAATTAAATGATTCGATGAAATAACAATAAAATTCATGATAGAAAAATTTTTTCAAATATATTTCTGATTAATACAAAAGTATCAAATCTTATCTGTTTAAAATATTAATAGATTAATATAATCTTAGATTTAATTGGAATTTTTCAAGAATAATAGATGATTATATTTTATTTATATTTTATTATGAATTTGTTATAATTTAATATGAAATTTGAGTTGAGATATATAATTGTTTTAGATCTGAAATATTTGTGAGCCAGATCTGAATAAATAGAATTTTTTTTTAAAGTATTAATTTATATTTATCTATTAAACTTTAGTATATTTTAATTCATAAATATCTAATAATTGATTTTTTATATTACATATATGTCAATGATGTTTTTTATTTTTAATATTCATAAAAAAGTTCAAAACATTAAGTTCGAAACATATTATGATTTAATTTGTTCGTTGTATTATAATCAAAAGTTTAAATTATTTCTTTTTACACATTTAATGTGAATGATTCAAATATTTTGAGAAAAATTTTTGTTATTAAGATTGTTATTAACATACGATATTATTTGATCCAAATTTATTTAGATTGGATCCGTACGGTTTAGTTGGGCAATGGCTTACCGACGCATTAAATAGTTCAGTATACACTTACGAAGTGGCACCGGTTTTAACATTAATGGAAAACACCGTTATTAAAAAATTATTAAGCATGTTTTACAAGGATGAAAATGGTTCTACGATAGGAGATGGTCTTTTCTGCCCAGGAGGTTCCTTTGCTAATGGTATCGCTATCAACTTGGCACGATATTGGTTTAGAAAAAAAATTCAAGATGTGAGTATTTATATTAATAAATAATTCTGATAATAATTGGAATCAAATAGTTAATATGATAACAAAATCTATTCTAAATGATTTCATGTCACTTTGCCATAATAATTTAATATATTAATACATTATTAATCATTGAAAGTATAGATCAGTGATCGCAAAATCGTTTGATAAACTAAAGAAAAACTGGTTTTTCAACATATGCAACCTTATATTTTATGTTGCTAGTTTTTAAAAATTATAATTATATTATCTTATATAGATTCTTCTTCGATTTCATACCTCATTTTTATAAAATAATCTTTATTAAGTACAATTGTATGTATTAAAATTTTTTTTCCAACATATAATAAATAATAAATATTTTATGTATTTTTAATTGGATAAAAAATAATATAAAATAAAATTTCTAGAATTATGAAAATTATGAAAATTTCGTGGTGATCAATATGTTTAATTTAATATTTATATTCTTTAATAACTAATCATTATGTTTTATTTTTTAGAATAAAAATATATCATCTACAAACCTGGTGCTTTTTACATCCGAAGATGCGCATTATTCAATTTTGAAGTGGGGAAACGTTTGTGATATAGAAGTGGTTCTCATAAAAACTGATGAGTATGGCAGGATGGATATCAATGATTTGAAAATTAAGATATTAGAAGAACAAAAAAAAGGAAATTATGCATTTTCTATTATTGCCACTGCAGGTTTGTTGAATCATATTATAATATAAAAACGATAAATTAAAAGCAAGAATTTTTAATAATTTTACTCATTGCTAATAATTTTATTTATTTTTAGGAACAACAGTTCTAGGCGCATTCGATCCTTTAATCGAAATTGCAGATATTTGCGAAGAATTTAATATGTGGTTGCATGTAGATGCAGCTTGGGGAGGTGGTTTGATATTCAGTAGAAAACACAGTGTTCTTTTAAGAGGAATACAAAGAGCAGATTCTATCTTATTTAATGCACACAAATTATTGGCAGTTCCTCAACAATGTTCTTTACTTTTAACTAAACATAAAAGCATTTTTAAAGAGGCACATTCTAGACATGTTCCTTATCTCTTTCAAAAAGATAAATTTTATCCTACAGATTTAGATGTGGGAGATAAGTATTTACAATGTGGACGCAGACCAGATGTATTGAAATTTTGGTTCATGTGGCAGGCTAAGGTAATCTTATGAACAAACTATTTAGTTTAACTTGTTTTTGCTTGTGTATAATTAATTGATTTATTTCTGGTAGATAATTTTTTCTGTTTAGAAATGCACTTTTCTTGAGAGTCATGCAAGGTCCCATATACTTTTGAGTAAAAGATAAAATCTACTTGCATGATACATAGGTTCTTCCTTCCCTTATTAATCTTTAAGTGTCAACCACTTATGCAAATATGTGGAAAACTAGCCTTCATAGCACTTTTTCCCCTGATCTTCCTTTAATTGTACATCTTGTACTTTGTGGTTTAAGCAGGTACTGCGATGCACTCCGTAGAAGATAAGGGTCTGTATGCTATGTTTCAAGTGTTTACCAGTATACTTATGCATATATTAACTTCCCCTGTTAGGAATAAAGAATGTTCATACTGCATCTATTCAATACATTTTCAAGATCATGAAAGAATCTCCTGAAATTCTCAAGGGGGTCTGCCGATAGCAGTGCTTTTAGACCAGTAACTTTCAAAGTTTCCCTCATTCACACATTTACATATTTTATTATCCCTAGCATATTAAACAGTTAAATAATAAACTTTCAAATTTTAATTTTAATATTTGAAAATGCTAAAAAAATAATACTATAATGAGAATTATAAGTCAGAATTTATTCTCTCAAATAATTCTATTATATTTATCAAGTTTTTAAAGTTTTTAAGTAGAATTAAAAAAAGTATATTAATATACAGCACAACATAAATGTTAGTATTTTATAATTATTTCTGAATGAAATTTATTCTTCTAATTCTTATATCATAACATACATCAATAGAGAAAGTAATATACATTTCATTCTCTTTCATATTCATTTAATAATTTGTAAATGATTTTTTTATATTTATTAATAGATTATTAAATCAATAATTGTTAAAAAAATAAATTTATTTAAAAATATTTTATTTCGTTTATTATTTTGATATATGTAGTTCTTTTTAAACATATTATTGATATTATATGAATTATGATTTGATAATTCATTAAATAAATTGTGATAAGTATTTCTATTTAATATAAAAATATCAATATTAATATAAAAAAATTGATATATAAAAATTCTTTAACAAAATTTAACTATATAATTTTATTACATACATATATAAAAAAGAGTTTTTCTTTCGTCGAAATCTAAAAGTATTATTTAAAATGATATTAGTTTTTTAAATAAAATGAACAGAAATTTTTAATTTCTTTTCATTTTATATATCATAATCTATCTTAAATGTCATTCCTTTAAGAAATTCATTTATTTTTCTTAGAGTTAAATATTGTTCACGCAACTAAAATTAAATCTATTTCAGGGTACTTCAGGATTTGAAAAACATATCGATCATTTAATGAAACTGTCAGCTCTCTTTAAAGACGAAGTGGAAAAAAGAGATGGATTTAAATTAGTAACAAACCCATGTTTTATAAATGTTTGCTTTTGGTTTATTCCATTGACTTTGAGGATTCAGAATTCAATTTACGATTATAAGAAAAGATTACACGAGGTGAGTTTAATAAATTATTTATATTTTTATCATAATATTTATCTATTTAAATACAACAATATCTTTATAAAAAATAAAATATAATAGAAAATTATTTGTAATATCTTTAATTGGTTTTTTGTGTTGATGATTTTTATATGATTTACGATGATGATAATGAATCTTAAAAGAATTTTTTAGGCAGATAATTATTTTTTTATACTAATAACAAATAAATAATTCGATTAATAATATAAATTTTTTGTTCATTAACAATTATTAAAATACAATTTTAAAATATCTAATATTGGAAAAAAGTAATTTTTAAAATAAATTATATATATAAAGTAATAAATTATATTAAAGAATAATACATAAAAAGATATATTTAATAAAAATTGATTATTTCATTAGGTTGCACCAAAGTTAAAGGAAAAAATGACTAAGAGGGGTAGTTTAATGATCAATTATCAATCACTTCACGAAAAACCGAATTTCTTTCGTTTTGTTATTCAGAATTCAGGAGTGGATACACAAGATATTTTTTATGTTTTCGATGAACTGGAAAATCTCGGAGAATCTATGTGATAATTTACAATATTCATAATAATATTGTTATTTGTTAAATTAATCTTTATTTAATTACAGTATAATTATAATATAATTTAAAAAGTATGATAATATAATTCTATTTCCATTCTATTTTTCTGTGCATTTTTATAGTATATATTATCATCATGACAAAGAATTTGTGCATTGTAATCTTTAATTAAAATCTTTTTCCTAAGTTTGAAAAAAAAATTTTTATCACAAACTAAGTTGTATTGAATTCTTTTTGAAAAAACTAATGTATTCAATCATGAAAATCAATTTGAGTTAAGTTAAAACTAAACTTAGAAGTTAGTTGATCTAGGATTCACTATTAAATTCTAATATCCAAATATCAAAAATAAATACAATAGACAAGATACAATAGACATTGTCAACAATTTAAGAGTAGAAATTATACTTAATTTAATCATAAAAGTTGATAAAATCAACAGATTTTAATAATAAATAATAAATGGTCGATTTTAGTTTCTGAGATATTCGTTTTTATTTTATCATTGCGTTATATTCTGCTGAAAAAAAAAAATAAAATTAAATAAATATCGAACTCATTTTGAGTAAAAAAGAAAAATTTACAAATTTTACAAAGCAAATAGATAAGAACAAATAGTGAGAAAGAGATAAAGATATAGTAAAAATCAGCGCCATCTATAATATCTGAGATGAAATAAATTTAGACATAGAGAATAAAGAATAAGAGAAAAAAAGAATAGAATAAAAATTAATATTAACGCCATCTCTTGAGTATTATCTTCTTTTAAACAGATAGAAAGATAGAATAGGAATTGCGCCATTTTTTGAATTAAAATATCTTTTCAAAAATCCTCAAGAGATGGCGCTAGTTTTAGATTCTTATCCTATATTGTACTTCTCTAAAAATATTATTTTCAAGACTAAAGAGATGGCGCTGATGATTAATTCTTATCTATCTTTATCTTTCTCCTATTATTTACTATCTTTATCTATACTTGTCTTTTAAAATTATATATCAAGAGACAGATATCTGATTAACTTTCTTGTCTTCTTTGCCTAATCTATTGATTAAAAATTTTAATAAAGTCTATTCGATTCAATTTTTACATATTATAAATATATTATTTACATATGTTTACTTAAAAAATTGATATACAAAAATATTGGTCGATTATTTATTAAGTTTACATTAGATGAAGGAAGGAAAGAATAGAATGGAGGCGTGATGAAAATAGAATAATTTATTTCTATCTCATTTCGTTTAATTACATTTATAAAAATATAAATAACGTGCTTTCCTTAAAATTATTCACTAATTTTCATCTGAAATATTAAATGTTAGGTCTATACTTCGTCCGAAGTATGAAGTTAATTCGTGATTGTCTTCGTTGTAGAGACTGTGGTGTCATGACCTACCGTCTTACTAATCCTCATTCAAGTGACAGCATATAGGGAAGCCCTATGTACATCTATAGTACGTTTGTATTATGTGGAACATAATGACTTGCAATCGCTACTGCATACGGTTTTTCATTCGAAAACAAAAGAATCCTTTGTTACTTTACTATTAATCTTGTCGAAATGAAGCATTATATCTGATTTGTAATTTTAAAATAGGATTTTCGATGTATGATCATTTCATTTAAAATTAAATACAAATTGTTTTATGGAAAATAATTTATTCGGATGATATACATTTGATTGAAAATGCTTTTGTAAATCTGTTATGAGAGATAATTTTAATTTAATTTTTGATAAAATTAGTAAATGATGAATAAATTAAATTTATTAAATTTGTTTAAATTTATTGAAATTTTTTAATAATTATCATTCAATAGAAATCTCGTTTTTTTGAATTTCTAAACTTACATAATATACAATTCATTTATATTGTTAGATTATTATGTATTTTAATACATAACATTTTGTATATTAATTTTAATTTAGATAATTTTAAAAGAGTACCTATATGATGTTACTTTGTCATATTTATTAAATTCACGACAGCTGTTAAATTTTCTGTCCTTTGTTAAATTTTATCATCATTTAATAAATTTGTATTATTGTTAATAAAGATATTCTTTAAAACGCAAAATAGTGTGCATTTAAAATTATGTAAGATAGTTATGAAAATATAAGATAAACATAGATGGAATGAAACGTAATAAAAAATTTCGCATACATTTATTCACGAACAATATTTTTGTAACAATAGCAAAAAAAACTTTACTACTACTTGTTTATCATTTTCATCTCCATAAACTCTGTTTCAAATATTGAAACAACAAAATCGATATTTCCTTCGAAGCATATATTTGCAACAAAAGTTTTAGTGACCTATATTTTCACTAGTCCATTTATAACGCGTATGAAGCGTGTAATTGTTATCGCTTCGTATATTTTAATCAAAAGTCATGGATGTATGTCACGTTAATTGATGCGTGGAATCTTTAATAAAAATTTAAAAAATATTCAGCAAATAATTGATGTGTGTATATATATATATATATATATATATATGTATACATATATGTCATACATAGATAATTAAATTTAGTTAAAAATTTGTTTTTATTTTGTTGGTAAATTTTATATGTTAATATTAATGCAATAAAATGACTTTATTTATTTTTTTTGTTTTTGTTAAAAATTGATACATCCATTGAAAATGATTCATCTAAATATTATCTATCTAAATTAATTCTTTGACTTAAATCATTATTAAATACCATAAGATTTTATTTCAAATATCTCATCTCTCTAGTATTTCATTCATAGTATAAACCACGTTAATGAAATGCTTAATATTTAACTACCGGTATCATCGAATCGTACTAGCAATTCTAATAAACAATATGAAACGCTTGTATGCATAATTAATTATAAAAACATATCTGATGATCTGATGATAATCGATTTTCGATTGTTGAAGGTCATGAAATTTTGTGACATCACAGTGACTCATAAATTATAAAATTGAACGAACTTAACGCGTTACACATAATACGTGGATACCGATAAACCTGTTAAACATGTCATGATGAGATGAAAAGAATTATCATTGTTATAATATAATCATTGTTATAATATAATATCTCAAAAATAAGGTAATTTGAAACCATAAAATTTATATAAATTTGTTAAACTTTTAGATTTATTAAATATATGCATTCGGTATTTTACATTTTTTGACACAGTTAAAATTATTTGTAACGAATACTCCGATATTATTATAATCCATAATATTATAATATTTTAATTTCCTTTAAAATGATATTAAATTTATTTACACGTACAATAATAATTTTTATTATTTCAAAATTATATTTCGATATTTAATTTTCCAGCAGTAAAAATAAAATTAACTCTGGAAAAGATAACTGGAAACAATCTACATACCGATATTCAAGTAATATTCTACGCTGTCTTAGACTTGAACGTATTTCTTTATCGTATTAAAATAGGTTATATGAGAAACCCTTTACAGGGAACTGTGCTTGTGTGTTACGTTCCTGTTCCCGAGTCACTGCTAGGGGTGCTTGCCCTGCGGGTGAACTTAGACAGTAGGTTGCCGCCACGAAAGACGGTTTTAACGTCGATAGTCACTATTCGAATCGTTCAGTAACCCGAATGTCAGTCGATATCTGCAAACTCGATGGCCAGGATGGGAAGGTTCTTCCAATTCATGTGCCACAGGTATTTTGTTTTTCTTGCGTCTCCAAAATTTAATTGACAATTTAAAATTTTCGAAGGAAGTTGGAATTATTGAAATTTAAAAATTATTCCCACTCAAATAACGTGTAATGTATGAATTATATTTAATAAGTGTTATTATTTATACGTTATAAATAAATATGGAATTAATTGTTAATTTTTGTTGAAAAGATAAATTATGTATTTATCTTTTTATTCATTATTATGATTTCTAAGTTATAATCGAATTTTTAAATTTTTGTTTAAATTATTTTTTAGTTTTTCAAATGTGATTTAATATGTAATTTTATGATTACCTATGATTACATTATATTTTTTCTTATTAGTACGTGGTCTACATTTAGCATTGATTGCAATTCTCTTTTTATTTTTTTGTTCTTATATTTTATACTATTTTTATGATATTAATTGTTTCTGAATAAAAATTTACTTATGATTTGTAATTTTTAATTTTCACAATTTCTATTTAATCTTGTTAATATTTGTAAGATCGTATGGAATGTCTCTTTTACTGTTTGTAGAACGTGAGTCTGTTGGAAACGTATCGTTACGTCATGGAAAATGCAGCAGGTTAGCCTCTTTTCTTTGACATAAATACTTTGAGCCTATATATTAATTATTACACAATATTTTAAATTAATTTTAATTATATTTTCATTTTTTTTTAATTTAACATTAAACTTTATCATATTTAATGAAATTTAAAATATTCTTCATAAAATGTTTATAATTTAAACAATAATATTATAATAATATTTTAATCCAATAATATTGTCCTACATAATATTGTTCTTGAATTTTTTATTTTTTAGATTCCAGAGTAGCAGATTGGATGTTAATGAGTAGTCCGTTTCCATTGTTAGGAATTATATTTCTTTATTTGCTTTTTGTTCTTCGTCTTGGCCCATTGTGGATGAAATATCGAAAACCGTACAATTTAAACAAGATCATGATTTGTTACAATATTTTTATGTCAACCGCCAGTGGAACTGTATTTTATGGGGTGAGTCATTCACATCAGATCGGATTCATTATTTTCTAAAAATTTACACTACTTGAAACAATTAATATATTTTTGCATTTCAAGTTGCTAACGTCCGCCACGAAATTTTCTCTTGGATGCGAACCTCATATCGTTATGAATGATCCTAAATCTTATCGTGTAAGTACCAAAGGCATTAAAGAAACGCAAATATCGATATTACGAGGGTTGTTTCGTACTTAATAGATGGCTCGATGGATGTGGAGGCTCTTAATGTTGAAAGTCCTCGAGTTGAGCGACACCATCATCTTCGTTCTAAGGAAAAAATACAACCAAGCATCTTTTCTTCACATTTATCACCACACGTCGACCGTTCTTCTTGCTTGGATAGCGTGCAAATTTGTCCCAGGTAAATCTACGAAATAAATTTTGTTTCTTTCTTTTCCAAGTCTAAATTTAATTGTAATAAAATTATATTCTATATTTTTATAATTATTTATCATATCACAAGTTAAATCTCTTATAATTTTCCAACGATTTCACGATACTTAAGTAGAAACTATTTAATTTAAAAATATTTCACTACATTAAGATATCTCGAACGAAGCTTTTCATTCTAATCCAGCCAACATATATCCTCCACCAACTTTAAAACACTTTCGATAGGCACTTTGGAAAAAAAAAAAACCCTATCTCTGAATTAAATTGCGCCGCGATGTATCAAATTTACCTATTACCCCTATACAAAATGGACACGATATATAAAACTAAAGCGACCGCGTATTTCGAGGGAATTTCCAACGGTCGTAAATAAAATTCCCTTTCTCCTGTTTCCCAAAATCCATTGGCCGTTTCCCAATGTAACTTTGCCCGTTCGTAACTATTCACCATCTCACTTTGAAACGTGTTAAAACGGTTCGTTGTGTTATTTACAGGTGGTATGTGGCCGTTCACGATTATGCCAAACTGCATCGTGCACGTGATTATGTACACCTATTATCTGCTCGCCTGCTTGGGCCCAGAAGTGCAAAAGAGGATCGCGCCTTGGAAACAATACATTACGGGTTTACAAATGGTACGTTCCCATTTTCTATCTGGCTGTGCTATCTGCCACGCTGCATACACATTGCCTGGAATGCATATATTGTGTCGGGGGAGGGTGTTGTTGGGTGTTGCACCCGGCGAATTGCCGTGCTGGGAGCGTTATTCGCTCATTTCACCGTGCACGGCCGCGTATCGCGTAATCGCAAAATTACATTCCCTGTCCAGCGCCGAATTTTTCCAACGTGAAATTGCTATTGACGCTCGGCCCTGGCCGATCGGTTACCGGAGATCGGTTAAGTAAATTAATCCATGTATAAGCGAATAACGCGTAGAAAATATTCGTTCCGCGCGTCTATTCGGCTGTTCGATCGTTTGTGAAATTGACAGACAGGAAAATGGTGATGGCGCGTAGTAGGAGTAAGAAATTTCACGGACGAGTATTTTAAGGATGTGAAATTAGAATTAAATATGGAGGGAAAATTTATTAACAGTAATTTAATATATTTAATCACCATTTAACTTTAATAATAATTTGTTATAACTTGACAATATTTTTCAATGTTAGATTAGAAATTTTTAAAGACAGAATACTTGAAAGTGTTAAGGAAGAGGGGACTCGATAAACAATGCAATTGCAATTTTTCACGATGACCAGATGTTTTGTAAGTATAATTTTTAACTTGTTCGTATTATTGGTAACAATAAGAAATCTTCTTGAAGATCGATTACTTGTACTTGTTCAAGAGAAAAATAATTACGTTATTTGGTGCAATATTTGCAGAAAAAATGAAATATTCGCTCAAAGATGTATGTCCTTTTCGAAAAAGGATTGACCATTCGATGGGGTGATAAAGAATTCAATATGTTCCACGCGGACCAATTTTTACAGTTACAGTGAAATTATTTTTTATGCTTTCACTGGCGTGGCAAGGATCGCGGATGAAATGCGCGCAGTCGTAAAATATAAACGTCAAAAAGGTGTACGGCAGCAACGTTTTTCGGGGATAACGAAGCACCGGAAATAAATCATGTTTCCGGTGAAAAACTTTTTGTTCCATCTCAGAACTTATCACATAACTTGTTTAAAGCAATTTCACCGGAATAAATCTAATGTTTCGTTTCTAAGATTTTCGAATCGTTGAAAGGATTAAAATTGCATAATAAATTTTTTTGAATCTACTTATCTATATAGCTTTCACATTTGGCTCAGCCGCAAGAATTTAATGCTCTTCTGGAATTCTATTGTTGAAACAGATTCTTCCATTTCGAACGGTTCACTGATCTTTGCAATAGTATCGTGAATACATTTTCCAAATTCCAAACTGTCTCTCCATAAATTTATCTGAAAATTTTCATTCCGATGAAACCACTGATTTTGCATCGCTCATGAGTCTTGCTAGAACTTTTTGATAAAATATTAGATTCAATATATTACTATTAAATGAATACATATTGTTAATATTTTTAGAGATTTTTCTTAAGAGTCAAAGGATTAATGTTCATGTAATTTAAACAGAAGAAATTCTAATTCTTCTAATTTTAAGTTTTTTGGTTTGATTGAATAATATTGAATTTAACAAATTTGATTTGTAATTAAAATTTCAGTTAATCACACTTGGATTAGTTTTTTATCTTACTTTGTTATGAATACAAATTATTTTGAATTGTGAAAAAATTATTCAAATTTAATGGTAAAACTCATGAATATAATATTATTTATAATTATCTCCATAAAATTTATTAATTGTCGTGAAATTTTATATCATCATCATCAGAATGAAGTTATAAATATGAAATTTTCTAAACATTCTCATTTCAAAACAATATTAACAATTAGATCATTGGGCATCCAATGATTGCATTGAAAATTTCATTCTGAAGTGTTTGAAATTCACGAATCGCAAGATGAATAAAAAAAGCATTGTTCGAGCATTTTGGAAAACAATGAAATATCGGCGCACGCCTTCAATCTCCATCGTTAAGAGGTGCAATATGTTTTAGTCGACGAGTACGAAACAAAAATGCATATATCAGGCATGTACAGGATGTACCAAATTCGTTGGAGAAAAATATTATTAATAAATTTTAATAAACTTTGATAAATTTTAATAAATCCTAATGATTAATGAAAATTAGTCCAATCACTTGTTTAAATATATTATTATTGCAAGAATATGAAATGAAGCATGTAAAGTATTGTTTTTTTTTTGAACAAATTTTTGAACAAATTATAGAAAAATAATATGAATCCAAATTAAAATTGAATAATATCGTTTAAAGTTTATTTTCCAAATTGTAGCCAGACTTTTATCCACATTTCATCTGCAAAATTAAATTATTTACAACTTAAAAAATAACAAATATACGTACCAACTTTTTTGCTCGTTTGGTCCCTTAAATTTTCTCACACTCTATACAGATACTTATACTCAAAACTTTCTCCTTATCTTTTTTACACACCCTATATACGTGTTTTTCGTTTAGCGTGCATATTGGCTCGCATTTGGCTTGCCTAACTCGATAACCGGATTTTCGCGCAGGAGGTTGAAAGGGTCGTAAGTGCCTGATGTGGAATTACACGTGTACCGGTGGTGATTCGATTTGCGTTTCGAATCCCGACAGGAAACAACGAGAAGAGGGGCTAACGCTGGTTTTTAATTAAATTATCCGTCGGCAGGGAACTTTTATTTCTCCGTGAGGTATCTACAGGACGATTTATCGGGTTACGCGGCCGTTTAATTTCGAGTTTCGAACGTTTCACGAACGCGTAACGAGTGGAAGTCAAGGCTTCGACCAAAGAGAATCTCGACAAGTTAGATTTAGAGGTCCATTTTAAGTAGAACCGCGAAGAGATTTCATTAAACTCCGTTGTACGTGAATAATGTTGTTCGATATCATTATACGTCTTGTTATAATTATTCTTTTGGATTTCTTTCCGTGAATTTTTGATCAGACGAATGAACAGATTTTTGATCAAAACTCAATTTACGTCCGGTTTATTTTAATAATTTTACGAATTAGTAATTTTTTTGCGTATAATTATGAGAGATTAACATTTGTTGAAAGTCATAATTTATTTTGATGGATTTAATCCTTAATTTCTTGAGTCGTAAAGATTATTTTATAATTTAAATAGATATTTGAATGCATATATCAAGTTATTTATTTATTAATATTTATTTGAACAGTATTCGTATTTTCTTTTTTTTTTAAACGAAAAATTTGTTTCAATGAAATAATATAAAGTGGAAAATATTTTCTTGTATGGTTTCAGATCCAGTTTATTATTATGATATGTTATACGTTTCAAACTTTGTTGCCTTCGTGTGAACCAAATCGAAAACCGATAGCCTATATCTATATGTCGCAGATCCTTATCATGTTTGGTATGTTTTGCGACTATTACAAGAAATCATATCTCAGAAAAAAGATGAAGTAATAATGATTCAAAGAGGATCAGAAAAGTCGAGGTAAGTAAAAGTTTTAATTTTCAATCGAATAATAATTAATCTTTTATTAAATTAAAACGAATTTATTTCTCCTAAAAGAACACGTTTCGTTATCTATAAATTTTACTTATTATTCTCCAAATGAAATTACATATCATAAACGTAGATTGGAAGCATTATATTAATAATACGAAATTATAATTATCTAAAAATACCTGGTGATTTCAATCACATTAAAATTTTCTCCATTAAAGATTTTAATTAATTACTACTTTAATTTTATATCCATAAATCCATCAACTTCCTATTCAAATATTATAATAATCGTTTCATTCGTATGCATTAATAGGTGATTTCGGATTACACATTGTGTAAATGCTACCATGAAAATCCAGTAGAGTCTAACCATTGTGACCGCGCGATATGCTTCATCCTGGAGGGCGTATCTCTCTACACAGTGATAATTCCATGAAAAATCGGAATGGAACGATCGTGAATGCTTGATAAAATGCGGTTGGTGGAACACATTAGAAAGACACGCATCAGGAAGCAAGCATGGGGCATGATACAAGGGTAAAATTCTCGTATCCGAGTCAGCTCGCATTTTTGCTCGCGGGGATGCTTTTAGTCGATCCTCTATTCTTTTCTTTTTTTTTATTTTTTTTTATTTTATTTTATTTTATTTCTTCGTTTTCCCTTTCTCTCTCTTTCATCAGTGTCCTCTCGAAACGAAACACATATTACATTTCGTTCCGTATCGATACAGCGGTAGCACACGCGACACGATCGTGACTGTGATTTTATTAAAATCCAGCAAATAGTGGATCGACGTTAACGTTCGTTCCACACTTTCACGGAATATTTTATTCTTTCGTTTGTAGTTTTGCAAATTCCCCCCCCCCTTTTTTTTCTTTTCTTTTATTTTAGAAATGTAAAATGATGAGGCATTAACTTCTTGAGGGATGAATTTATCAAAATCGATAAAAAATTATTATTTCTTTTTTTTTTTTTAATAACACATTCATATTGTTCATTTACTATGAATCGGTGTAAGTAAGAATCGTTAAGTTGTTAATTTTTAAATAACTAAGCTTTTTTGATGTGATGATGCATTATTTAATTTTTACACTTGAATTTATTAGTTAAATATTTTGTTCGAATAAATCCACGCGAGGTAAACGTTCAAATAAAGAAAATTAAGTATTAATTATAGTTATAGTTATACGCTATATAAGTTTTGGATTTTACTTATACAACGAACTTATATTTTACACATATATTGGAATAACAAACTGAAATGTTTGTATAATAAAGGTTATTAAATTTAAATATTTCGGTGTTGAGTTGAATAATAAAATAAAATTTTCCATAAAATAATGAGATGATTTCAGAACATAATATCATAGAAATGTTTTATCATAGTTTTTATAAATTATTTTTAATTGAATTTAAACTAAATAATCAACTAAGGGAAGTTGATTATTTTATATTAGAGTACAACTTTGATGAGTAAGTAGAAACAACTTACTTTAATTGTCAGACGTAGCTCGTAATTAAATAACAAGGATTACAACTTCTTAAATATTAACAAGTACAATTTACAATTCTTGTTTCCATTAAAAGTTATTCAATTTGGTAAGAAAATATAAAATTTCTTAGGAACAATTTCATGTAAATTGTTTAAATAAATTTTTATTCATTCCTTTTGGGGTAAGAGAAACTTTTCTTAATAGTAATTTAAATACTTTCCATGTAGATGCCATTAGAAAGTTCAACGGGTAGTCTGTACCTTTAATCCAGTATCATTAATCAGCTTTTAATAATCCAACTTCATTAATCTTCATTCACTAATTGTCCAAACTTCATTAATAATTAATTTGTAAAATATTTCTATATCAGATTTTAATAATCAAACTTCATTAGTCAAATTTGTAAAATATCCTGTTGTATTTTTATTTTCCAAATACTTATTTTCTTTACACATTAATTATATCTATACAAGTTCTATAATGCTCAATAGTCTTCAAAATTGAACAGTGGAGCTATATCAATCTGAAAGTATTGATATTCTTTTTAATGATCATTTTGACTTACGTTTAATTGCTACAACTTTAATGAATTTCTAATTTCAAAGAGTATACATATATTGTCGACACAAAATATCATCTAAATTCTAAATTAAATTTACCATAAACAATTTTGTACGACTTATTTGAAATTATTTATCTCGCCGGAGTCAAAAACCAATATAACTTTTCCACCATCACAATATATCTTTTAATGGATATTTTATACGCATCTATCCTATATGAGCTTGCATCCCCTCTTACAGACACGTGTGCCTAAAGGGATGACATTACAGAAACGTTTTCCTGGCCGACCGAAATTAGCATAGAGGATTACCGTGTCTGTGGCTTAAAGTCGACACGCATGGTTGCACGCCGATAAGAGTTTATTAACGCTGGGTATATTTATCTTGCAATTTCGACCGACGCGAAACCCTTTACCCTCCCCTCGACTTTCCCTCTCAGGATTCAGGAGGTAAGCTGGTCCAAAGAGCTATCTATAATATATGTATGCGTATACAATTTGTTAAAGATGATGAATTGTTTCGATTATAATAATTTAATTTTCTATAATGTTTCGTTCAATGAAAATAATTTTATATGTTAATAATTATTGTGAGAACGGCTTGAAAATACGATAAGAAAATTATATCAGACTTAGAGATAAAAAAAGAAAACGGAAAAAAAGCTTCTTAAGAATTTAAAATATTCAAAAGATATGGAAGAAAGAAGAATATGCAAATGTTTCTTTAAATTGTCTAATTTCTTTAAAAGCGTTAATTAAATAAATTGCTCTAAAAAGCTAGCTCAAAAAGTGCAACGATCGTACAATTGCCTTCCGTTTGCAAAAACATGAGGGGAACTTCTCGTTTTATTCCACTTTGTAACGCTTTAACAGAGAATCGCTATTCCTTTTACTGAATTAGTAATATTAAAGAGTCCGCGAGTGCATTACTTTTGCCTTGAAGTATTAAACGAGAGCACCCTCTATAGTTGCATGCAATACTTACAAGCAGCGAAAGAAAAAGGGGAAAAGTGGATCTTTTCGTCTGAAATATATGACCATGCTGCCTTTCTTTTACTAGGCGAATTCATTTTTTAAACTTCATGGAGGTTTGTTTCAAAACGTTGCAAAGGTTTTGTCGTGCTATAATTTTTGCGATTTGAAAATTTCAAACAGTCTGTGGAGTCATTTTTTTTCGAAGAATAATGTTAGCAATGTTCGCCTATAGTTGGATTGTTTCACAATTTCAGCCAATTTTTAAATTTCTCTTATAAAAACTTATATATGAATATGGTTTCCCCTATTTTTCGGATAAGTTTTAAAATTTTTCGTTCCTTCTTGAATTTTTCAAGATATATATAGAACAATAAATTTATTAAATTTATATAATATTATAAACAAATAATAACAAGTAATAATAAGTATAAAATAAATTAAATAACGTAAATATTTTTTATACTCATCAAGTTAAATTGAAAATATTAAAATATTTAAAATACAATTCTTATTATAATTGTCATACAATAGAAACGTTATTATAACAGAACATATATATATCGCAAAATTGCATATCTAACAAAAATCTGTTTCACTATCGAAGAATGCAAATGGCTGTATGAGGTATAATGGCTATGAGAGATATACGATTACACCAAGCGATTCGAACGAGCTTTCGAATCATCCTATTGCCCCATAGAAACGGAAGTTGGCTGCGCTCTGACTCGTTGTATCCGCCAAACGTATGTATGCGTTTGGCCGGTATTTAAGCAAGCAGTTACGTTGCACAGTGTGGCCTTGCAATATGGAATCGGTACTTTGTCTTATAAATTTCGCGATATTGGCTCTGCTGCAGAAGAATCACGGCCATGCGCGTCCCGCCAATAATGAGTCCGAGAAGAGAAATTAAAATTTTCGACTGATAAAAAACGATGTCGTTCCTAGTCTGCGCGATGCAATTGTACGGCAGCTGGTCTAGTCATACAGATACAATTCATATCTCGCAAAAAAATAGGAAATGGACAAATGATTTTTATCAACGAGTTTAATAACGAGATTGGAGGATTGGAGAACACTTGAAGATTTTAATCAGAATAAAAAGCAATGAATATGTAGTTGAAATTTATAAAATATAATCACGATAAAAGTGACTTTTAAATAAGATTAAATTGTGAATTGTAAATTTTGTAAGCTAAACGCAATAAGAAAGATATTTATGACTTATATACATACGTGTATGAAACTATAAGATGTCACAACGTCGTTTGGTCAGAAGCACACTTGGCGATAGCATGCTGGAATTTAATAACCATCGTGCTCCAACTTGAACCCGTTTAGAATTTAATACTAATTTAAAAGAGATTAGTTCTGTATCCAGCTCTAGACAAGGATCACTACCCTCTCAACCGACCCCCTTCCTACGTCCCGGGGTGAATTTTAGGAGCAGCAACCGGGCACAGAAGCCCGTGTTCCCATGGGGGAAGCGGCTTAATTAATTGAGCTTAATTTAAATTTAATTTAATTTTCCCTGTATTCATTCCCTTTCTCACTCTTTCTTTCTCTTTCTTTCTCTCTCTCTCTCCTCTTCCTTTCTCAATTATATTCATAGACACGTGTGTTTCCCGTCTTTGAATATCTTTTAAATAAGTAACAGGTTATTACAATTAATTAATATTTGTACGATAAAATTGGCGGGAGGAATATGATCAAGTGCATCAAATTTTAACAAATATGTATAAACCGAGTAACTTGTTTTAATCTTGTAATCTTGTTCGAGATTATTTTCAAGACTCGATTATGCAAGGATTAGATCACATAGATAATTATTTATTGGAAAATTTAAAAGTATGTAAAAATGTTAATATTGAACTATTTAACTTTTATGTGAAATATTTTTTAGTATTTTTGAAAATTCAAACTTTCCAGCATCCATAAGCAGTAAACAGTCTCTTCGAGTAATTGTAATTACTCTTCTTTAACCTAGATTGGAATTCCTTCCTTAAACTTTGAACAAAGGCTATACAGGTGCAATAAACAATTAAACATTTGTCTTGAATTCATAAATTTATAACCATCGTAAATTTCGATGATCGAAATACCATAGTACGAGTACGAAAAGAAATCGGTTAAAACAAATAAAACTTTGGAATACTTTACATCCTACGCACGAAACTTTCTTTTAAATATTATTCCCTACAACCAGGACAAAATCCTAAGAACAGATGCTATCACTTTCAAAGTTAAAATCACTCAATATGGAAGAATTGTTTTTTCCACAAACGAATCCCCCTCCCCCTCCCCCCCACCCTGTAAAGCCTCACAATATATTCCATCCCTCTTTCGAGTTTCTGTATCTCGAGTCGGGGGACGGCGGGGGAGAAAAAAGTTTGAAACGAGCGCGGGCATCGAATGATTTACCTCGAATGTAAATCATTTCTTCTCGAGGCACGCGGTTCTCCACGATTCCGCGCGAATTTCGAGGAAACGATTCGTATCTCGTTCGTCCCACTTAGCTCGTTGGATATCGAATACCTCCCTCCCCCACGTACCAACTTTTCACTCCCCTTTTCCTCGCCACGGCCACGAGACTCCTCCCTTTTTCCGCGCGGAGGAATTCATCTCGGTGGAAAACTTTCAGTTTTGTTCTTCTCCCTTCCACCGAGTGATTGCTCGTCCGCGGGGAGGAGGGAAGAGGGGAACCGATTTCGAAGGAAAACTTTGAATATTTACAGGTAGGGCGCGCGCGTACCGACATTCTCGAGGGCACCCTTTAAAATTTATTAGCGAATATCGATGAAATTCCACGAGAAGGGAGGGGGGAAATCGCCGCGCGGATAGAAAAATCTCGCTCGAGACTATGTTTTGCGGGAAGGAGTTTGGTCGGTGGGGAAGTTTATTGAATCTTGAAAGGAGAGATGCAAAGGGAAATTGTCGTGGCTCTACTTACATGGGTTCGCTATTGGAAAATTGAGGTGGCGGAGACATGAATTTTTAACTGATTTCGGTTCATCTTAATATTGCTTGTCTACGAGGAAAATGTGAGAAAGGAATCAATAATAATACGAAATGCAATATTTTACAATAAAATAATATAAACACGGATAAGTGTAGTAAATCATTAAAAAGAAATAGTGGTAGATAAAAAAAAAGATTTCGTACCCCACTTTTCGCTAATTATCTTTAAATTTTTTTTAGATTTTCTTCAAAATTTGTGAACATTCGTCGACACGAAAATTCGAGCCGAGGAAATAGAATCAACAATC